AACTAGTTACAAATAGCTAGAAAAAACAAAAAAAAACATTTTTCTTGGGGAATTTTGCACATTAAACGAAAGAAATATGCTGCAATTTTTTATTTAAAGGACCTTCTCGTTCACATGCATTGGACATGAATATTTTGTTTTAGCTACATTAGTTGTTCGATATAAAATTTGAAATTTGTGAAGTGTAAAGAATTTTTTTTTGTTTATTAAATTTATAGGTAATTTTAAAAATTTAGAAACTAGTGGTGAATTCACTATAGCTTCCGCATACGAGTTTCTGCGAAATTCTACAGATGTTGGAGATACTGTTCACAGAGGTTAATGGCATCTAGTTGGCATTGGCAAGGACCACAATGAATCAGAACGTTCCTCCTTCTTAGTGTGAAAGAACACCTGCTTACCAATGTAGAAAGACTTCGGAGACATTTCTCTAATGATGGTATATGCCCGCAGCGTCGAACCGGTGAGAAATCTGCGCATCATGTGCTGCGGGATTGTACAACAGCAGCAGCAACATGGAATCGGATTGTTCCACTAGTGAGCTTATGGGATTCTTTTCCATTACTTATAACCTTAACCTTGGAAATAGTATGCTGCAAATTAACAATGTTCCCTGGTGCATCATTTTTTATGTTACGTGCTGGTTTATGTGGAAATGGAAAAATTCGGTGGTGTTTAAAGGACAAGTGTTAATTGTGCCGTGCCAATTGAATATGATTCAAAGTCTAAGCAACTACAGTTCATACTACCAACATGATTAGTTGGATGGAGTCCCCACGAGATAAATGGGTTGTTTTAAATTCAGATGGAGCTTTTAGGCAGTCTCTAGGAACAACCACAGCTGGTGGGGTACTGCGCAATGGCCTAGGCGAGTGGATTGGTGGGTTTACAAATTGGATACTTGCACGGTGTATATGGCTGACCTTTGGAGAGTTTATAAAGGATTATTACTCGGAATTGGGAGTTAATTCTTCTTATTCCATGTAGGAATTCTGGCCTGATACTTGCAATTTGCAAGTTATTGGAGGAGGAGTGGGAGGTTGTCACAGAGAAGGAAATTGCTTAGCTGATTTCTTGGCAAATTTAGGTTTTGAGATGACAGAGGTTCACACTATTTTCCCTTCTCCTCCTTTAGGAGCAGGGGAGCAGGAGAGATTATGATAAATGACACATTAGAGGTGTGTATTCCCCGGTCAATTAGAATATAAAATACTTACATACCAAAAAAAGTAGCGTACTTTTGATATAATTCGTATGTAACTCAACAGCCAATTGGAAGTTAAATCTATTTATAATTTTATATAACATAAACTTCAGAAGAATCAATTAAAACATACAATAAAACTTATCGTTTTCTAAAATATATATATTTTTTGTTAAAATCATTATCTAAAAAATAAACAAAGAATTGAAGAATTTTTACATTATTGCTAATATTTAGTTCTTACTGAATTACCTATTTGTTAGAATTAGTCTTTTTTTTGTTAATTTTTGTACGTTAAACGTGATTCTCTTCGCGGCAGATACATGCATCTCAGATAAAGTTGTCAGGTTGTTCATAGATAAAACTTGAGCATAATTTTCTCGTTGATGAATTGGGAAAAAGGACAACAAGAAAGACAAAAGAAATTGGATCAATGTCATTTAATTTGACAGCGACATGTGTGGAGAAATTATTCCAACATTTTAACAAT